TTAAATATAACTTCCCTCATGAGAGCCTCGCGCAAGAGCTGAAACGTTAGAGAAATTAATGAAAGAGTCCGGCTGCTCGCATAGCTCGCTCGCTCGCTCCGCGGCCAATCATTTATTTGACTTTCAGTGCGCGTGACATCATCGTGCACGCATTAACCGCGCTTACAATGTAACGCGACAATAAACATTACACGTGTAACGTCACCCAGAGCTGACGTCGGATTGGTTTCCTGTTCGTTTAACCCTCCCGATCGTCCGTCATTTAATCTGAAGGCAAATTGCGCAATCGATGATCCAGTTTTCCATCACGCTTTTGGAAATGACGACTACGAAACTAGGCGGCTCGGGTCTGCGAACCTTCGGGCCGAAATCGTTTGCAGCGCTCGCCGGAGCTTTCAGCTGAATAGAAATTTGTTTACCTAATCAGTTTCTAACTTGTAAACAATCTGTGGATAGTCTTGAATTATTTCGTCGCAGCACGTAACGCTTATGGCTTTTATGTATTTGTGATAGAAATTAATGAATGTAAGAATCTCGTTACACCGTTTCAAATTTAATGAAATTACTGAAGGAAAAAGCGCGTCTCTATTTAACTATTATTTTCTATCGACGTGGACAATTTTTTTTCCATAAAGATCCACGATCTATCATATAATTATTATATAATTATTAGAAATGTGAACTTCAGCAGCGACAATAATTTTTTCTGTGCTACTCGAATCTTCTGACGCAATTTACACTGTGTACTAATATTCAAATTAAGTTTAATAAATAATAATTAAATTAAGTTTGACAAGTAATAATAAATGTTATTAATTTCGGTTGAGTTTCATCCAAGATAGAGGAAATAAAACTAATTAGCGTTACGAGAATTTTCATGTTGCTAGTCTCTAGAAGATGCATTGCTTTCAAAGAAATTTTTAATTAGGTCAAGTATCATAATTAGCTGGAGCTGTCTAATTAACGTTCTGACAGCTATTGTTTTCCATAACTTCGCTGTTGGCATTGTCCACTTGAACACTTACAGGCTAATGTATAAATTAGTTAAACGTAGTCTCAGAAGCTCTTCGATGATAATGAGCCGGCTAAATTGAGTTATTTGTGAAACGCTGGGAATTTAATCGAATTCCGTTAACTAAATTCCGCCGAAGTGTAAGAACGAGAGAGAGAGAAAAAATGCGAAACGATTAGTTCAACGTGTAACAGCCCGAGCAACCAATTCCGATGATCGTAAAAATCGGAAATTTGCTTCGTAGGCATCCTCGCGCAAAACAAATCGCAAATAAGATAAACTCTGTGCAGCTAGTCATCCAACAAAAATTTCGCACCAACACAGTCGAGATCATATTCCGAGATACTCGGACGTGCAATTCTCATATCAGAACAGGTTCTTAATCGGAGACGGCATGGAGGGAACTGTATCGCGAGATAAGCTCTCCGTAAAACTCTAGATACTGCCGAGTGATTTGCAACTATGTGTGCCTTATTAATAGCCGGGCATTACGATGCTGCAGAATCTGTAGCTTGTTAACAAAATGCATACAAAAAAAGGAAAAAGAAAAAAAGAAAGCAAACCGTGGAGTAAGAGATCGAAAGAAAGTTTACGAGGGAGAAAAGTCTAGCCGAGCAGAAACGTTGATTCTACTTAAGTAGACTTTCCTAGCATTAAATCCGACAGTAATTGCTTCCACCACGGAAAACTTCAGTCTCCGACTGATCAGTGGACCACAATTCAGTGGAGGACTGAGTGGCCCGATGTCTAATTGTAAATAATTATTTTTATCGAAAGAGAATAGCAACTATCGATTGGAACAGAAGCGTCTTCACAATATTCGCTCAAAATTCTTTAATCACTCTTTAGATCGCAACATTTCAGTGACAAGCTCGCAGTTCAATTCCGAATTTATCTCAGTTTCTTATCGTTGATCTGAACGACATCAGGGACAAATTGTTTTAAAGTTCACGCAATTTGTAATTCAATACTTAGTTTACTTAGCAACCACGATTGTTGATAAAATCGAAGCAGTTTAACCATATGCATTCGAACCTATTTCAACTCTTTTAGATTTGTAACTTGTTATTTCCTTGCGACTTGATTTGCAACTTGTTCTAACTTAACTCTCTTAGATCTCTATCGCTTTGGAATATTTTTATCGTGCGTAACTTCGTTTCAGAAGTTACGTAAAAATAAATGTCGCTTTCTAATCGTGTTAGTAAGTCTATTCGTTATCTTTCGGATCTTTCTGCATTTCTTGAAAATTGTAGGATCTATGAAAACGTTCCAGCTTTCACGAGAAAATTATGGAGCATGTAAAATATTTGTGTGGCTCTTAAAAAAATCGTACGAGCTTGATGGAGAGTCTGGGTGCTCCAGAAAAATTTTCGGAACTATGAAAACATTGTAAGATGCACCAAAAAATAATTAGGCACGTAAAGTAGTTGTATGCCTTACAAGAAAAATGTAGAACTTACAAGAAATGTTTTAGGTGCATAAAAAAAATTGTAGGAACTATAAAAACATTGAAAGACCCACCAAAAAATTACTGAACACATAAACTATTCTTACGTCTTGGAAGAAAATGATAAACCTACAACAAGGTTCTAGTTGTTTCAGAAAAATTGAGGGGTCTATAAAAACATTGAAAGACCCGCTAAAAAATTATAGATCAGGTAAACTAGTCGTAATAAACCTACGACAAAGTTCTAGAGGCTTCAAAAAAATTGTGTGATCTACAAAAACCTGATTCAAAAGATCAATCAAAAACTAATTCAAATCTATGCAAAATTTGGCACACAGCTCGAGAGAAATTGATCGTTTCCACTTACGACGAGGAAAATGATAACCGTAGTCCGGCGAGAAACTGCACTATTGTTCTTTTGCCGAGAAGAAAGAAGAGTCGGAGAGCAAGAGCATCGCTAGGGGAGAGTCAGATGGCAGGAAGGGCCCCGCGTATAAGCCGGCGGCGAGACGTCAGACGGATATGCGGGCCGGAAGAGGGATTTATTTAAGAATCATTCGGGTTTTCCGAGCTCCGGCCGGTGTCCGGCTGAAAACAGAGCTAGGAAACGGCGTCGTAGGAGCGGCGGCTCCGCACAGAGGGATGAGAACGGGAGTGGAGGATGAGTACTCGGACGAGTGTAGGAGCAAGAGCAAGAGCAGGAGGAGAGGAGGGTGGCGCACCACCTCGGAGCCGGGAGAACATACGGCGCCGTCTGCTTCTTTTTCATTTCCCTGGCCAAAATTTAATTTGGAACGCGTCCAGTTGCACCTTTCCGCTCGCTTGACTGGTACGAGGAAACGAAGCCCCGGAAGATCACACGAAAAATGTACGTGGCTCGCGCGCACCGTCCGCCAGGAGGATCTGGAAGCGGCACGAATTAGGAATTTTACTAACTCGGATAGTCGCATTTAATTTTAAGCCGGGAAACCATACGAGTCATTACTGTCTCCATTTTCGTGCGTATATTAAATTACAGACAGAACAGAGGGGCGGGGAGGGAGGGCGAGGCGATTCGCGCGGGAAAAGAGGGAGAACGTGCCCAGACATATTACGGAAGAGCAGATGCATTCGAGGATTAGCCGAAGTCGTTCTGGTCCGCGCGGGATAATACGTAGCCGTCGCGACCGCGGGATCGCGGGACAATTCGGGGTTTCAGCGCTCTCTCGACTCGCTCGACTCGCCGGATCAGGGATTCTTCGAATCATTCTGCTACCTGTCGGCCGCCTATTCTAGCCGGTCATTCCCGGATTCCAATCTGAACGAACCGAAACGAATCTGGACGTTCGGAAGTACCGAACATCTTCGGGCATCCGAACGATTACATTGGCGAAAATAGAATAAAATGCCAGCGAGCTGAGAGGCTGGGCCTAGCGTCGGGAATCGAAAGATCAAAAAGGAACAAGTCGATTGATCTACAGAAATAACGAAGGGTAATTGTATTTGTTGCTGAGCGTCGTCTACATCCACTTTGCGTAGAGTGTGGTAATAATAACAGGAAGAAAGAAGTAGGACTCCGTGTGAAGCTTATTGTACTTTCCTCCTTGTCATTGTAGAGGATTATTGTAGAGCAGGGGTGTGAAACTCGCGGCCCGAGATGAACATTTTTGATGTCAAGTATCAGGACGTGAACAATAATTTAACTAGTCAAAATAAAAATATTTGTTTCTATGAGCATTGATTTTTTTTTCTTCTGCGGCCCACCTAAAGTTAAGCATTGTTTGTTTGGCCCAAGTTAGCTTTTGAGTTTGACACCCCTGTAGAGAATTACAATAATAGAGAATTACAATAATGTAATTGAGAATTACAATAATGCATAGAAATTGAGACTGTTTTAAGCATTTCTTCCATGATGGATCAATCTAAATAGTTCTTGCAGTGTCTCTAGGCGAAGCCTGCCTTCGTCTTTCCGCGATGATAGCAGAGGATTACTGGACGAGATGATTGCATTTCGCAAAAGAATTTTGACAGCGTAATTACTGAATGCGCGTTTATCTTCTGAGACGCGGGAATCCGAATGATCCTACTAACGATTCAGACGAAAAGATTCCAAATTATTCGAAAGAAGAACAGTTTGGCGAAGATGAAATTTCGAATTGCTTAACAGAATGACAGAATCTTGCAAGATAGTCAGAAGGCCAGATTTTTGTATTGATTGTATTGTTTGGCATTGTTTGTATTAGATACATGTAATTACAGTAAATTCTCTCCAATCGTCTCTCAGCTTGTAAACAAAAATAGACAATTTCAGAAGAAGAGATACGATTATCGAGCCTTGCACCTCGTTTTCATAATTGTTGACAATCGGCAACTATGAAAATGAGCCGCGAGGCTCGAATAATCGAATCTCCTCTGTCCAAATTATCCATTTTTGTTCATTAGAGAGAATATAGAATTGTAAAGACCCTTTCATAGAAAACTCATATCACAGATTTCTTAATTCGAGCGTAAACTGACATAAAACTAGCGAAATATCTGAATAAATTCACGCAAATTACGTACGAAATCTACGACGACTCTGTCTCGTTGTCACAGCGTAGGAAATTGATGTCCAGCAGGTTTAGCGTTATCCGACAGCAGCACCAACACACATCGCGTGAACGAAATATCTGTGAAAATAAATCCCATCATCTCGTTCCCACAACGATCGCAGAAAACGGTGATCGTACATAAAAAGACCCGGCTCCTGAATATCACTTGACGCCCGAGCCTGGTGGCTAACTGGCTGAACGACACAAACCGAATCAATTCCGCAGCTCTATCAAACGCAGCGAGCACTAGAATTAACGTGCCGGGTTAGCTCGCTGAAGAGAAGTCTTGTAGACGGTCTCCCCGGCTGGCCGTCGCTCGGTTCATAAATTATGCATGGTAGCAGGAGCGGGTTGTCCATCGCGGCGTCAATCAGCGCGGCTCTTCTGCCGTGCGGGGCGTTCAAAAAAGCCGCGGGAAGACGCGGGTTTTCTGGCCGCGGCGAGATCGTTTCGGGCCGGGGCGTCGCTTCGCAACGCATCGCGTCCCGGCGATCCGGGTGGCAATTTCTAATCAGCCCCTGTCATTTGTACTTCAGAAAAGAACAAGCATACGTTTAACCAGATATGTAGTGATTTTCGTTACAATATTTACCTGTATCCGACGGAATAAATTGATTGAACGAATTTCCTGTTAGCCTATCTTTGTAATGTCAATAATCGTAAATTAAACAATTTGGAACGTGTCGAAATGACACTAGAGACAGTTTTTTAAAGAGTTAACGCCAGAATTGCTGAGCTCTGAATGAGCAACCAATGTGTATTGCTTTATAACAGTGACGAGATTGGATTTATTTAAACTTCGTACGGTTTCTGTTATAATATAATAAGCCATTTGTTTGAACATTTGTCATAGAGACATTTTTATCAGGAACTGTGAAAGAAAAAGAAGCCAGAAACTAGTCGTTTTGACCGGTTTCATAGTTCTAGTATTAATGGAGGATCACAAAACAAGAACTCAACGAATAATTTAAGTGCTTCAGAAAAATTGTACGATTAATAGGAAGCATAGTAAAATCAATGAAAAAATCATAGAGCATTTAAATTGGTTGCATGGATCATACAAAAATTGCAAGACCTCTGATGAATGATCTAGGCGTGTCAAGAAAATTCTAGGACCTCGTATGAATGATCTAGATGTTGTAGAAAAATTGCAGGATCTACGAAAACGTTGCGAATTTCGCAAAAAAATTACAGAGCATAAGAAATAGTTATGGTACTAAAAAAATTGTAAGATACAGGAGAAAGATCTAAATGCCTCAAAGAAACTGTGGGATCCATAAAAACATTGGAAGATTTACCAAAAAATAATCGCACATGAAAAATAGTTGCATGACCCACAAGAAAATTCTAAAGTCTACAATTAGGTTCCAGGTGCTTCAAAAACTTGTACGCTCTAGAAAAGTATAGTAAAATCCACAACAGTATCGTAGAGCATATAAAATGATTACGTGGATCACAAAAACATTGCGAAGCCCCCTAAAATGGTTTAGGTGCTTCGGTACGCGGGTAGGTGCATTAGGTGCAGATCTATGAAAGCATAGTGTACTGCACGATGGAACTATGGGACATATAAAATGGTAGAACGACTCTTATAAGAAAGCTATAAGACCTGGGAGAAGGATGCAGGAGGTTCAGAAAAATGGTGATCGCGGCGATCCGGGTGGCAATTTCTAAGCAGCTCCTGTCATTCGAAGCGGAGGACACGTCGCGGCGTGGCGCCGTGCGACCGCGTTCGCAAGCTTTTTCCCGGTTCCGGGCTAAGAATTAGAGAGCGTCCGGTCTGAAAGGTGGCGGCTGTTGCTGCTGGACGTACGCGCGGCCCGTTTAATTAATGTGGCTTATTAGCATATAAACTCGCGCGTCCTCGGGACGTAGCCTGCCCGCGGCGTTCAGCAGATCGTTGCGTCGGTCGTGGCGGACGTTCACGGGCGGTCGTAGACCCATTCGCTATGGGAGTGGCCAGAGAGATGCAAAATGTCGTGGCGAGCACTCGAGGCAGTGGGCATTACGAAGCCCCTGGAGCACTGTACCCGGCAGCCACTAGTTACATTGTCTAAGGTTTCAATAACCTAATGAACCCCAACGCGCAGACCAAACCGACCGAACTACCTCCTCGCCGAGGGAGAGACGGCCTGCCACTGGACTTGCTTAATTAAATACAAATTACAGCCAAGAATTACGTCCGCCGAGGGCTGCTCTGGGGGGAGGGAGAGGGGGCGAGGGCGACGCCTTGGATGAGGATCGGACGGATCGGCGAGTAACAGGTCCTTTGACGTCGCAACGTTGCTCGCCGAACGAAATCTGCCATCTTTTATCCCGGAAATTTGCTGGAACATTGCACAAAAATTCAAGACCATTGTTCAGTTTTTATAAGAGTGTTTTGCACGATTTAAGCTAGTCTTGAATCCGTGAATTGTGAATCGTTTCAGAGGTATGTTGGTTAGCACCTATTCGTGCATAACTATTTTGATAATCGCAGGTGACAATTTTTGGTTCTTGCATGTCCTCGTTCAGTTTCATTTCTAGATCTTGATAACAGTAGAATCAAATTTTAATTGTCATCCCGAATACGACGAGTTGTTGTAGTCCACGACGCAGTCGTTTTAGACGACTTTAACTTTCCAGTTTCTGTTTCCTTAGCTGAACTGCTTTGAGATCGTGCTGATTATTTGGGGTTGCGATGCGGCGATCAACGTGTTAACGAAGAGACTGATGAAAGTGAGCGTTTGCTTGTGGGAAAAAATGAGGAGATCTGAATCAGTGTAAATAATGTCTCTTGCGTGTGTTCTAGTATTAGACAGAATGTTCTTGAAACAAGAGCGAACAGGGTTTAACCCTTCGTGAAAAAACGCAGGAATCTTCATCTAGAATTATTAGAAGAATGAGTAGGTGAAAAACGAAGATGTCAAAATGTTATATAGAATTTTATATTCTGAAGAACATTCGTTCTTGTTTAATTGTATATTGCTACAATTATCACAGAATGCTTCCATTTCGTAAAGTGATCCACGATATATATACTAATGCTTTTTTGCTTTTGCTTTTTTCATTTGTTCGATATAC